AAATATATATATATATATATATATATACACACACACACACACACACACATATAAATTACGTATGGATTACCCATAAATAATCAATGCTGCATGTATACCTATATGTAATTTTAATTAATTTTTATTTTATTTTAATTTATTTTTAACAGTATGATCTAACCACCAACATATCTAGAAAATTAGTTTTAGACTTCTCAAGGCCTGTACGAATAAACTGTTACAGGAAACAAAAGAAGTGTATTCTAGCAGGTTTTTCTATTCTTTAGGGGAAATGCCCTCTCTGTGTTAAATGTTAACATTTTCTGTGGCGCCTGGTCCTGGCATCACCCTGCTGCTCAGAGAAAATCAAATGACCCTTTTCTTGCTCTCAGCAGTGTGTTTGTCGATTACTGTACAGACAGTACATCCTCATGATCAATGTCCTTGTCCATATGTTCAGATCAAAGAATTGGAAAGAATTTAGAGAAGTTGAGATGAAATTTCAAACAGTTTTATAGTAGGCTACTGTTGTGCGACGTGTTATAATTCATCTTAAAATATTTGAATTGACTGTTCTTCTTGTTGCCAATTCTTCTATATTTTAATGCCGTTATGACCTCATATTAATCGAGAGACTTCATTTAAATTTATCACATCGCAAAGCTATAAAAAATTAACTAGTGAAGACATAAAGGCAGGTTAACTAAAACTAATTTTTTTTTTTTTAAATGTGAGATTTCTTATTTCCATTTAGTTTACCTTGATGTATTAAAATAAAACTAAACCCGAAATATAAATTAATAAAAACGATATAGACATATAAGAAAACAAAACGATAAAAACACAACCAAATTACCGAAACTTTCAAATTAAAACAGAAATATATATATAAATATATTTCAAAATATTAATACAAATTATAATAGTATCTCAGTGATACTAATATAACACTTCATATAGATTATTAAAATGGTTTTTTTTTTTAATTGAATAAATGGTGACCAGTTACAGGACCCAAAATATAAAAAAATTAAAATATATAAATGTCAGATTATTTATATTTAATTACAATTTTTTTTTAAATGTAAAAAAAGAAATAAATTCATTTGGTACCTTGTTGAATAGATGACACTTTCCACAACATCTGTATTTAAATTACGACACTCATTAACATTCTGTGTATTTCTCATGAGTTGTGTAAACAGTCAAACAGCTGAACTGTACTTTTATTAGTTAATTAAACCCCTCCGAGCATGTGTTAACAGTGCCTGTTGTCCTGTGAAGTATCTTCTGATGATGAGCCATGTTAATAGTCCTGTTGTGTCTGTAAAGGAACTTTGGAAAGAAAAGCATCGTAAAAGCCAGGGTGCAATTATTTCAAT